TACCACTGCAACCCTAATTACAAACACAAGCTAACAAACAATAGTAATGAATAAATAAAGAAATATATGAATACATATAAGAATAGGGCATGTGCAAATTTGCAAATTTTTTCTTCCTCATTTTTTTTGTATTGCACCCCGTATTACTTTAATGCTCTCCTCATACACTCCTCCATCAAGCCCATCAGTGCTCTAGCATGTTTCAACAGCAATGATCACTCACTCATGAACACATTAAGGTGAACTGACACTCTAAAAAAATAATCCACTGGTTCAACTTAAAAAAATTAAGGTAACAATCTGCATGCATCTTTCTAAGTAGGTCCAACTCATTATTATTGAGTCAATCCTATGAGTCTTTATAATCTAAAAAACTCAATTACTTTAGTACAACCAACATAATTTGCTTTGACTTTGAAGAGCTCAATTAAGTTGAACCAACTTAATATTTATCCAAACATTGTGGTGACAGTGGTCAAATTATTTAAGGTATTCTAACTTATTTATTTTTAATTCCACCCTACTCAAAAAATTGATTTTGACCAACATCTTAAAATAAGTTGTCAAATAACTTAAACACTTTAATGAAACAAATGTAATCTTTCTTTATGCTGGAAAACTAAGCCCACATTTCATTTTTTTAAGAGAGGTGCCCCCCCTACTACAGGCGACCGTTACCATCAGATCTTTGGATGATTTTTCCCCTTGTGTTTGACTATGGGTGGCGCCCTAGGCAATCGCCTATGTCGCCCATAGGAAGATCCCCCACTGCTGCACGTCATCACAGGCATGCCAATTTTTGCAAACACACAGACCACACATTATCAACAATGATAGAGATGATATTCTTCTTGAGATCAAAATGGAGGCGAGGGTATGTCTAAAGGAAACAATCACAGATCTAGCTCCACTCAATTATCTTTAGCAGGATAATTAATCAATTCAGTATGCACATCCAAGTCTCAGAGGCGTCTTTGGGATAATTGTTCTCATTGACTTGAATAATTATTTGTTTGCTGATTTAATCATTTTCGCATTTGGAAAACAAATGAACTGTGCTGGTACATACTCCAGATTGTTTTTTTTTTCTTTTGATGCTGGTAGGTGAAAACTGACTAAATGTAGAGTACAGTATCAGACTGAAACAACTGATGTTATCAAAAACCCTGATGCAGAATGTCTCTTGAGAAATTAACCGCAACCATATTCAGACATTATGTCATTATGTGTTTTTTTTTCAGGACCCTAACCTCAACTTGAAGAAGGTCAATAAAACATGAATTGTTTCTGCCTTGTGGCATCAATACAAACTCCACTGAATCAAAGGCTAATATTTCTCAGCTATGAGGTCAGCCCTGGGTTACAGACACGGCGTCCTCAGATAATGACTGGCATGTTGAAAACAACTGTCGGAGTCTTCAGTTCGCAGCATTATGAGTTTGAATGAGACCTCATGGCTACTGCAGCAAATAGCACAAATTAAGAGGGTCATTTTAATGGCACTCACTACTATTTATCATGCCGTTTTAAATGTTTTGCTCATTTGTTTCCATTAAATATTTCATCTTCCCTTAAATATTCATTTAACTTCCTCTTTAAATTTTTTACCAGTCTCTTTGCAGTTGCTATCTTTTTTGCCTCCCTTTTAGGCTTTGCAATCATAAATAATTATTCATCTACACCCAGAAAGAGATTGCATAAAACATGCACATGAATCCTTTTTGTCTTTTCTCATTAGTGATATACTTCGAGTAGCCTAAATACATCCCGCTACCCCACTTATGGAAATTGGTTGGAGAACCTTCCTAATGATTCTGCTTCACAAATAGGTTACAGCTTCCATCTCTGATCCCAACGTTCATCCCTCCTTTCATCATGAAAGGAGGGGTCTACTACAGCAGCATCTGTGATGAGATCTTGGAGTTCTTGTATTACTTTTAAAAGGAGCTACATCCTGCATCAGACAATGCTTCTTTATTGTTTAAATCAACTGCGAGGCTACAGCGGGACTGTGTGAACAACAGTAGCTGCTCCCTGACACTTAACTGTGTATTGACGAGAGAGGTTTACTGTAATGAACAATGCAAGACACACATAACAATAGTGAAACAGTCACTGAAGCTACACTGCTGTGGCTTTTTCTGTCTTAAGAACATGTTGTTCTAGTAGCTAAAAAGCTTCCTAATTGTCATCTATCATATTTTGCATTTTCACATACAATTTTATAACTTAAAAAAACAAAGTAACAATAAGGACAAACTTAAAATTCTATTAAAAGTAACACATAATCAAAATTCCACTGTTATTCTTAGCATTTTCTGACATTTGAATGAATTTACTATAAACATGTAGGACACACTCCTCTATCTGTGTTACATGTGTGAACGCTGTAGCCCGGCTCAGTACATTTGTCTTGGCTAAACAGGCAACATTTGTCTTAATTTGTTAGATAATTGCAACATGACTCATTAGCAAACAGCACCATGGTGGAAGGTGGAAGGGAAGCATAAACTCTCAATTTGACTGGATTATCCTTTTGTGATGAGGCCTAATGATCCAACAGAGTAAATAGCAACGTGTTAATTAGAAATTACACTGAATGATCCGCTGCACACAGAGGAGGTATTAACCAGGCAGCATCATTATATTAGATCTATAGCCGTCTTTGCTTTTCTCTTTTTTTAAACCATGGGGTCTGATAGTAAAATGGCAATTATAACTATCCCAAAAGAGAAATTATGGAACATTTGTTGCAGTTGACTCTCTTCAGTTTGCTTTTAAAAACGAAATAGACTGACATGCTCTATATTCTCCAGACATATTTATTCTCAAGACCACACCTGAAGGGTTACTGCAACCAAATTAATTTGAGAATATCACCATCAAAAAAGTAGAAAAATGTACATTTACCTGAATTACAGGACACAAGAGCATGTCATTACTAAATTCAGATAAATCTGAAACCATCCGGAAATGTAACTTAAAAGATTATGATTGAAACTGGAAAATGTCTCCTCATTACACCTCAGACTCTAGTTCACTTTGTCCTCACTGAGATTTTCGTTATAGCAGATTTTGATCAATAAATGCATCTACCCAGAGACTGCAGCGTTTCCATGAGCATCTGCCTCCACCTAGTGGCAAAAACTAGTCACTGCAGACTAAAAGGAAGACTCATTAAAGTGAATGTAACTGATTTAAAATTACATTTTGACCTACCACCTTTCAGTGGAAATAATGTAACTGACCAAGCACAATTAATATGACATATAATGAAACAAATTAAAAATCTCATATGCTTTTTTTTTTTAACTTATATGATAATCAATACTTCCAACATACCTGTGCATGTTTATCCACGACCATCTAAGAGAAAAGAAAAATCAGTTAACATTTGATGACAGTAGAGGTCCACACACTAATGGAACAGTTAATTGTAGATTAACTTCTCCAACCTGTATTGCAACAACACACAGTCTGACACTTCTATGACCCCCCCCCCCCCGGCATAGTAGTCTAATAAAACAGGAGTTGTTTATGAAGGCAAAGATGTTTTGGACTGAAGCTGCAGGTTGATAAAACACACAGAGCAACTAATAGGCTTACAAATGCTGATAGGCATTAGACCAATGGAGGAAAAAGTATTCAGCTCTCTAAGTAGCAATACTGCAATGTAAAGCTACAATGTAAAAGTCCTGCATTCAAAATGCAAATTGCACAAGCAAAATTATAAGATGTGAGAATCACCAGACGCTCCATGATATGATATTATTGTGATAGTCACGATACAACACTATTTTTTAACATGTTGTGATATGCTTAGTGCTGCGATAAAATATATTGCAATTTATTACCTTTTTTCAACTGTAGATTATGTCCCCAAAGGAAAACTTTGTCAACATCTGTATTATGTAATAAGTTTTCAGTCTGTTTATCTCACTACAGACATTTTTTTGCAGCAGCAAAATGTATCTAGTGGGCTGAAAAAGCAATTGATTTTGTTATTCAAGTAGGCTACTTAAAGTTTAATTTGTATTTGTATTATTAATAATTTATACAATAACTAAATATAGAGGAGAAATATAGAGGTATCAGCCACAAAGTAGCCTACTTGTTATGCTGAATGAACCCTTTCTGGATATTATATTATTTTATATTATTAGATTATTATAAGGCTACTTAATTATTAAATGTAACCAGCATGTTAACAATGCATCTTATTTTGTTTACTAATAAATTTAAGCTGTAATTACTGTTAAATGGAGTGGGTTTAAATGCACAATACAACACACAGTGAAGTAGATGTACACAGAAGTTGTTTTTAAGTAGGCTTCATTAGGCTACTGTCTACCACTGCAACAGACCTGCTACTGTGACTTACATTAAATGTCAATAATCAAATAGACAGTACTCACAATTATGTAGAATTAAACCTACAGTTTGAAATGAAAAATAAACTTTTAGGAGATAAAAATGGGAAAAGTTTTGGATACAAATCAGGTCAACAGACTGTGTACCTTGACTTGGACAGCAGTTACTTAAATCTAGCAGGGGTGCCAGGTTTGCTAATTTTCCATGGAGCTGTCAGAAATATTACACTCATATATTATCTATTAACCTTTACCAAAGCCTTTAACTCTAGTTATGTGACATATTTTGAACTACACTTGGAGACAAATGCACTTTAGCAACTTTCTTTACGTCGCTTCAACATGTGTGACAGTGAACAGAAGTGATATTTTTAGAATATGAAATAATATTTTGTGACGCAAGCTGAGGCAGTGAAAACCGTTATTGTGTAGATAGTAAAAATAATGCACCAAAATTGAAATGTACGGTGGTAATTTTGTGTGTTTTGTGCTTGAGAGATGAAGGCAGAAAGTTCAGATACAAACCTGCAGGAAACAAAACTGGCAACTTCATACCGCTAGCTGGAAACGTAACAACAGAATGCTCCTCAGGCTAGCGATGTTAGCAAACAGCCGTTTTCTACCGTTAGGCTGAGGAGTTTGACATCGGTGGACCCCGTTAGCTAAATCACCGGATACCGGCTTTACACTTTACATGGAGCCCTGGAACAGCTGTCCTAGCGTTGAGTCGTAGCTGACAACTGTCTTGATTTAATGGATTAACTTCGGTGTTAATCTGACAGCATTAGCTTGTCTTTTGCTGTCGCTAAGTTAGTTAGCTAGCCAGTTAGCTAACTGTAGCGCATAAGCTAGCGTGACTAACGTTACGTCCGCAGGATAACATTCTGCCTTGGAGGAAGGAAGGGAGGAAATTGATAAGTAGGATCACTGCGCACCGCTGTTTATGCAAAGCTAGCACACTTTTTGCTCTCCCGAGTTCACGCACTGTGACGCATTTAGAAAAGGTGACTATCTGTGCACCCCGTGTGACATTTAACACCGTTTGGTTAATAAGATTGCTGTTAGTTGGCACAGCTAGCTGTCAACGACAACAGCCTTCTTGGTTAGCTGAGTAGCGGACGAGAGCTAGCAGGCTAGCCACAAACTTTTAAAGAAGTTGTGTAAGTCAGATTCAGCTCTCTGGCTGGTTTAGGCTAACAATTAAACCGGTGTTTTAGCTTCTCTTTGTCGGACTTTTCCCACTCTGAGCCGCTCTAACTTTGGAGCGACAGGAGAAGCTCATGGCATCGGATGTGATTGAGAGTGAAGCGGTGCTGAAGAGTGTAAGTGATATGAATTTGAACAATAGCAGCCCAGATTTCGGCACACCCAGCAGGACTCATGAGGAGCTGGGAAACAGACACACGTCTAGCCCGTCATCTTCGGGAGTGTCAGGAGAAGGTGACGAGGAGGAACTAGAGGAGTTGGAAAACAGCACCGCGTCTACAATTGAAAATGGCGAAGAGGCACTTCAAGAGAGTCTAACCAAAACAAGAGGTACGCCACAGGAAAGGACAAATCCAGACAATGAGCAGACACAGCCGGGAGCAACAAGCTCTACCCCGGTGAGCCTTCCCCAGCCACGCTCACCTCCTGGACCCATTGGAAGGTCTGTATCATGTCTGCTTAATGTTTTCTTCATGTTGGCAAAAAATATTGAGTAGTGTCTGGTGTCACGTCTCCATTGTAAGAATGCTGTTCTGCCAGACTCAAGCACCAGATGATGAGCCAGATGATTGCCTCTGTTCAAGTGTCTGTCGGTGTTTTTAAGGTTGGCTGGGAAGTTAGAAAGTTGCTTGAAACCGATCAGTCTAAATTGTCACGTTTTATTTAATCTATTAAACCTTTATTTAACCACAAAACCTCTTGAGATTAGAAATCTCCTTTTCGATATTGTCCTGACCAAGACAGGCTGCAATAAGAGTTACAAACAGACTAAACTAAAATAAAACATATACAGCTCTAAAACACAAAATGAGTATGCTGCAAATAAAACCCAAAAAGTATGTTAACCATAAAACAAAAAAACAGGGCAACTACACATGATTACAAAGATTAATCATTAAAAAACACCCTGACATTGGTTTCACATTTGCCATGTGACACTTCTCAAATGAAGACTTATAATCAAAATCCTACAGTGGCTTTCAAACATGTAGTTTACATACAGTTTTCTAAATCAATGCTTATCCTACAAACAGGTGTTAATACCAAAAGCGGAGGACACATCCTTCCCAAATCTTTTTGACGTTCCTGTATTTGTAGCTTGACTAGAAAAGCAGGAAAAGTAGAAGCTACATTGAGGCTGGTATGACATTTATTTCCTGAACATTGCAGAGGGGACTGACACAATGACAGGAGTATGTAAAACATTGTCACAGAGTCAAATCAACACTTTAAGAGCTGGAAACCATGAACTTTGGGAATGTAGTATATTACATAGCTATTTTTTGTACTGCATGATATGGTACAGGTGTTACTGTCATTGTCCTCAGTCTCTGTAGGTCACAGTAAGTAACATCTGTGGACAGCTGCAGAACACACCATGCACAGAGCGTCATTTCGCTGACCTTTGACAAACATTAATTGTCATGAAATCCCCACTTAGTTAATCTGTGTTTTAAAGGATAAGGTGTTGCTACGTATTGTGCTTCTGCCTTTTTAATCTTCAGAATAACAAGCAGTATTTATAACGGAAGAATTAGAATTTTAGAGTCGGTAAGTGCTTAACTCGAGCCAAAATAGACCACTCAGATTATTATCTGATAGAGACAGATTAGTGTATCATAGAGACCGTTGTAAACAGGAGGCTTTCTTGCAGTGGGTCAAACCAGCTTGTATTGTATCGCTATAAAAGATCGTTTCAGTGAAAGGTGTAGATGCAAAAAACAATCGTATTGCAAAGATGTTAACAACATATAGTATCACTGTCAAGATTGATAAAATCATGACTATGAAAAAAACATATTTTTATAGTTTTGAAACTGTTGTTCATCTTTTTCTATTTGCCTAATGTGGCTGACTCCACTTCCGTGCAGCTTGGTCTCGTGTGCACTTCCATTGCAGGGGTCTCTCCTCAGGAAACCACATTCCAGTGGCACTTCTACCTCTCTCAGTTGGATTTCACATGTAATATGGGGATAAGCACTATACATAACCAAAGCGCTAAACTTTTTCAAATGTTGAACACCGAATGCCCAGAATATTTTTGTGTCTGGGAGCACAAATACAGTCGTGAATGTGATTACTGCATCAAAGGGAGCTCTGTACGGCAAAGATACAGATACCATGATCGGCATTAGTGAGTAGCCTTATGGTTTATAAACTAAGCCTTTAACACAAGCTTGTAAGCTATTCAAGAAGCCAATGATCTGATTATGTGGCCAGCTGTAGGCTGAAAGTCTCGAGGAGATTCTCGATCAATAGGCGGGACTGTGAATTATGTATTGATAAGCACTGCAACACAAAGCACCTATCCCGTAATGTCATTGTCATTTTTGAGGACTGAAGAGCGCACTGCTTTGCATATAACCTAAACAGGGTTTTTACTGAATTGATGCAGGCTTATACTAAGGTGGTAAGTAACAGGATGGGTTACAGCAGCACCTGAAACATTGTTATTGCCCTTTATTATATGGAAAGTTTGGAAGTTTAAGATTCAAGGTGTTCAAAATTGCACATCATACAGGTTGTCCAGCTGTGTAACTAAAAATGACCTTTATTAAAACAAAAAATGAACTTAAATGTGGCAAAAAGTGCCCAAATGCACAAGTGACACTGACTATGTTTAAGATTATGTTACTTGTTCATCTGTCATGTCATGTGCACTGTGACTAAATTCTTAGTAACTGAAACTGAGGAGTAAGCTGTATTGCTTTGTGTGCTTGTAGAAAAAAATATCAGGAAACTTATCAGGCAATTCATATGAACAGTTAGACAGTACATGACACACAGTCTCTCCTTAACAACCATTAAAACAGATCTTGTTAGACTAATATGTCTGTAGAAAAATGAATGAACATACAGCCCGGTAAATGTTTATTGAGACTGTCGGTAGAGGTTAGCACCAGAGGGAAAGTATTATGAGTATTAATAGTAGAGCTTAAGTAAGTCACATATTGAGACAGTTTTAAGAATGAGATTTAATCATTTTGTTTGATTCCATTGAATCCGTTCAACCTTTTCCAGTACTGGGTTGCACCTTCCCAACACAGCCTATCCTATCCAGAACATAAATATCCCCACCCTTATTTGCAGTGTATCATTGTGATTTCTGCAGCTTAGTCAAGTGTATTTATCATCTAGAAGCATTCCATCACTGTCACTGTCCATATCCACTAAGTTTGTATTTGCTGACGCATTAACCCAAGAACAGAAATTGCTTCTGACTCCTGATCTACATTTCCCCCATAATCCTTTTAGGATTGTACAAGTCACAAGCAGCCGTTGTCAGACAACTAATTATGTGTTTGGTTCTGTTTGTCAAGGATAATCTCTACTGGCACTGCTCTTGATCTTAATACATTTGTAGTACAAGAGAGCCTTTTAGCTATGAAATATTAATAAACGTAAAAAGTGGCCATAACCTCTTTGTGTTTTCATTCCCAGCCTGGAGCGCCAAGAGTCAGTCGCCACGACAGAAGCTCGCCTAAGAATGGAAGGAGTCGAACTGAAGGAGGAGTGGCAGGATGAGGACTTTCCACGGTATGATCACTTTTGTGTTTGGAAAGTCGCATAAAACATTATCCCACGGAAGGCCTATCGTTCTCACAAACAGTTATGCCACTGATGATTTGACATCTACCCTAGGCTATGCAATGGACCATGGCAAGAAGGCAAAGAAGAAGCTTGCAGCTCCAGACATCAGTCTTACACTGGACCGCAGCGAAGGTTCTCTTCTGTCTGATGAGCTGGATGAAAGCACAGAGCTGGACCTCGATGACATAGACACACCTTCAGACAACAGCAATGAGTTTGAATGGGAAGGTAAGAACTTCATATCATGTGATGAAAATGAAAACAGTGTTAGCACGTAGTATCTTTTAGCCCT